GTCCCCGGCCCTGGTTGGTCGTGCGGGTGGCAGCCACTCGATGTGTCCCTTCACATCGATGTTTCTCTCTCTCTCTCTCTTCCTCTCTCTCCCTCCCGCTCTATCTGAACAAAAAATGGAAAAGTGTCCTCGGGTGAGGATAAAAAAAAAAAAAAGTTATCTAGTTAACTAGACTATCTCACCTAGTTAAAGAACTAGAAAGCAAACAAAAATAAAACCCCAGAGCAAGTAGAAGGAAGGAAATAGTAAAGATCAGAGCAGAAATAAATGACATAGAGACCAAAAAAAAAAAAAACAATTCAAAGGATCAATGAAACAAAGAGATGGTTTTTCGAAAAGATGAACAAGATTGATGGACCCTTAGCTAGACTCACCAAAAAACAAAGAGAACCCAAATACACAAAATCAGAAATGAAAGAGGAGAACAACTGACACCACAGAAATACAAAAGATCGTTAACAACTACTTTGAACAATTATATGGCAACAAATTCCACAATCTAAGCGTAATGGACAAATTTCAGGAAACACAGTCTCCCAAAATTGGACCGGGAAGAGATAGAAAACTTGAACAGACCAATAACAACTAAGGAAATTGAAGATGTAATCAAGACTCTCCCAGCAAACAAAAGCCCAGGCCCAGATGGCTTCACGGGGGAGTTTTACCGAACATTCAAAAAAGAACTAACACCCATTCTCCTCAAACTATTTCAAAAAATTCACGAAGAAGGAAGACTTCCAAACTCGTTTTATGAGGCCAGCATAATTCTAATTCCAAAACCAGAAAAAGACACTACAAAGAAAGGAAAATACAGGCCAATATCCCTGATGAACATAGACGCCAAAATCCTGAACAAAATACTAGCAAATAGGATCCAGCAATACATCAAAAAAATGACTCACCATGACCAAGTGGGATTCATCCCAGGGATGCAAGCTGGTACAATATTTGCAAATCAATAAATGTAATACACCACATAAATAAAATGAATAAAAACCACATGATCATATCAATAGATGCTGAAAAAACATTCGACAAAATTCACCATCTATTTCTGATAAAAACGCTCAGCAATGTGGGAATAGAGGGATCATATCTCAACATAATAAAGGCCATATATGAAAGACCTACACTACAGCCAACATCATACTCAATGGGCAGAAACTAAAAGCATTTCCCTTAAGAACAGGAACAAGACAGGGATGCCCACTTTCGCCACTCTTATTTAACATACTACTAGAAGTCTTAGCCACAGCAATCAGACAGGAAGAAAAAATAAAAGGGATCAAAATTGGAAAGGAGGAAGTGAAACTGTCATTATTTGCAGATGACATGATATTATACATAGAAAACCCTAAAGACTCCATCAAAAATCTACTAGACTTAATAAATGAATTTGGCAAAGTAGCAGGATACAAAATTAACATCAAGAAATCGACGGCATTCTTATACACCAATGATGAACTCACAGAAAGAGAAACTAAAAAAAAATCCCATTTACTATTGCGGCAAAAAAATTAAGATACCTAGGAATAAACTTAACCAAAGAAATAAAGGACCTATTTGCAGAAAACTACAGGACATTGAAAAAAGAAATAGAGGAAGATATAAAAAGTAGAAACACATACCTTGTTCATGGATTGGAAGAATTAACATCATTAAAATGTCCATACTACCCAAAGCAATCTATAGATTCAATGCAATCCCCATCAAAATACCAATGATGTATTTCACAGAACTAGAACAAATACTTCAAAAGTTCATATGGAACCAAAAAAGACCCCGAATAGCCACAACAATTTTGAAAAAGAAGGACAAAGTAGGTGGGATCACAATACCAGATATCAGGTTATACTACAAAGCTAATGTAATCAAAACAGCCTGGTACTAGCACAAGAACAGGCATATAGACCAGTGGAACAGAACAGAGAACCCAGAAGTGGACCCAAGACATTATGCTCAATTAATATTTGACAAAGGAGGCAAGAGCATACAGTGGAGTAAAGACAGCTTCTTTAATAAATGGTATTGAGCCCTGGCCGGTTTGGCTTAGTGGTTAGAGCGTCGGCCTGCGGTCCGGAGAGACCCGGGTTCGGTTCCCGCTAAGGGCACGAACCTTGGTTGCAGTTTGTCCCCGGCCCTGTTTGGGTCGTGTGGGTGGCAGCCACTCGATGTGTCCCTTTCATGTCGATGTTTCTCTCTCTCTCTCTCCCTCTCACTCTATCTGAACAAAATATCGAAAAATGTCCTCGGGTGAGGATTAAAAAATAAATAAATAAAATAAAAAAATAAATGGTATTGGGAAAATTGGACAGCTAACATGCAAAAAAAATGAAACTAGACCATCAACTTACACCACACACAAAAATAAACTCAAAATGGATAAAAGACTTAAATGTGACCCATGAATCCATAAAAATCCTAGAAGAAAATGTAGGCAACAAAATTTCGGACATCATATGCAGAATTTTTACTGATAAATCACCGAAGGCAACAGAACAAAGGAAAAAAATGAACACATAAAACTACATCAAACTAAAAAGCTTCTGCACAGCAAAAGAAACAACCATCAAAATGGAAAGGCAACCCACTGTATGGGAGAGCATCATTGCCAATGATACATCAGATAAGGGGTTAATTTCCAAAATATATGGAGTACTCATACAACTCAACAAAAGGAAGACAACCCAATTAAAAAATAGGCAGAGGAGCTGAATAGACACCTCTCCAAACAGGACATACAAACGGCCAAGAGACATATAAAGAAATGCTCAACATCACTAATCATCAGAGAGATGCAAATTAAAACAACAATGAGGTATCACCTCACACCTGTCAAAATGGCCGCCATCAACAAATCATCAAACAACTGTTGGCGAGGGTGTGGAGAAAGGGGACTCTAGTACACTGCTGATGGGAATGCAGACTGGTGCAGCCACTATGGAAAACAATATGGTGTTACCTCAAAAGATTAAAAACTGAACTTCCATTTGACCCAGTGATCCCACTTCTAGGAATATACCCTAAGAAGCCTGAAACACCAATCAGAAAGAATATATGTACCCCATGTTCATAGCAGCACTATTTACAATAGCTAAGATCTGGAAACAGCCCAAGTGTCCATCAGTAGACGAATGGATAAAAAAGCTGTGGTACATATACACAATGGAGTACTATGCAGCTATTAGAAAGATCTCTTATCCTTTGAGATGACATGGAGGGACCTGGAAAGTATTATCCTAAATGAAACAAGCCAAGCAGAAAAAAACAAATACCACATGATCTCACTTATTTGTGGAATATAATGAGCATAACAGTCTGAGGAATAGGGTAGACCCAGAGACGTGGAAGTAGAGTACAGACTGACAACCCTCAGTAGAGGGGCTAGTGGGGGAGGGAAAAGATAAACCACAGAACTTATATGCATGTACGCATAACCAATGGACATGAACAACAAAGTGGGGGACGGGGTGGGGAGGATGGGGAGGGTGTCAAAGTGGTAAAAAAGGAGAAACATCTGTAACAAAAATAAAATTAAAGAAAAATTAATTTAAAAAAAAAAATCTATGGGTGTCTATAGAAAATGGATTAAAGGAGACTGCTAAACTTAGTTGACTTTTTAGAAGTACTATAGTTTTAGGATGAGCTTTTTTCTTTTTTTTTAAATTCCTCACCCGAAGATATTTGGATATTTTTCTACTTATTATCAGATAGAGTGGGAGGGAGGGAGAGAGAGAGACCGAGAAAACATCGATGTGATAGAGCCACATCGACTGGCTGCCACCCACACGACCCCACCAGGACCAGGACGAACCGCAACCAAGGTACATGCTCTTGATCAGAATCGAACCCGTGAATCATTGGTCCATGGGCCAACGCTCTAACCACTGAGCAAAACTGGCCAGGGCTAGGATGAGTTTTTTTTAAATTTTGTCACCATAATGCCCCTCACTCAAAGCCATTTTACAACACAAGCCTGTGCCCTTGGTTCACACTGATGTTTGGCACAGACACTTTCTGACTTGTTTTATATTACCAAACAATTTCCCCTCGCCTCAGCAGCTATTTGAATCAAATTGGTATTTTAATCATTACTCATAGCCTACAAAGCAAGGGAAGAATGAGCAAACACTTATGGAAAGGGTTGAACTTTATTTCAAATTTGCAGGTCTCATTGGTTCTCGCTAATTCTATATATATGTATATCTTTTTTTATCCTCACCCGAGGGCATTCCCGCATTTATCTTCAGATAGAGCACGAGGGAAAGAGGGAGGAAAAGAGAGAGAAACATCGATGTTAGAGAGACACATCGACTGGTTGCCACCCATACAACCCTAACCAGGGCCAGGAACAAACTGCAACCGAGGTACATGCCCTTAGCAGGAACCGAACCCGGGACTCTCTGGTCCGCAGGCTGACGCTCTAACCGTTGAGCCAAACCAGCCAGGGTAGTTCTCTCTAATTCTAATTTGAAACAATTCACAAACTCCATTTCAAGATATTAAAGCATAAAAAAAAAATCCCCTATTCACAACAAAATCCGGAAGCTTTATCCCATCAGTGCATGGTAAAACATAAAATGAAGGCCCAGGTCCTCAATCAGGTTGTATAATTATATCTTTCCTCATTTGGGAGATTAATACTGATATATCATAAAAAGGTCAATAGCTACAGAACCTCATCAAGAATATAGTCACACCCTGCCAGTGTGTCTCAGTGGTTGAGCGTTGATCCATGCACCGAGAGGTCACCGGTTCAATTCCCGAACAGGACACATGCCCAAGTTGTGGGCCAAATCCCCTGTGGGAGGCATGCAGGAGGCAGCCAATCAATGTTCTCTATTAATCGATGTTTCTGTCTCTCTCTCTCTCCCTTCCTCTTTCTCTAAAATCAATAAAGATTTAAAAAAGAATATAGTCACTAAACACTTCAGTTGGGTTACATTATTCCATACACACGCAAAAATGATTGCACATATAACACATATACTGGGTCTCACCAATTTCTCCTTCTTGTCCAGGTTTAGGAATACTAATAGAAGTTTTGGTCTCCGCTTCTAGTTTCTTCCTAGTGTCCCCTCTCTTTCCAACTATATGCCTATAATATAAATAAAAATTAATTACTGGAAGGAAATTAAGCAAAAATGTACCAAAATAAAGAATTCTATCATGTTTAAATAATATGTATCCAGAGACACTCCCTTACAGAAAAGTGCTTCAGAAAAGCTCAATATTTGTAGAGGAACTAACAAGTCATATAGCTTTACAGAACATGCAGCATTACACTCATTGACAAAATGATGTCCTACAGCCAAAGTTAATGTAAGGATATAATAACTATGCCCAACACCTGTTTGCTTCTCAAAATTAAAATCTGAGTCTGCAGTTCAGTGAAAGGAAAGCTGGCATAGTCTCAAAGGCAATTTCAGAAACCAATGGGGCTACAGTTTGGGGGGCGGGGGAGCTTCTCCTTTTGGAGAACAACTTAACTATATTATGAATCCATCCTAAGGGAATTGTCCTTGCTTAATTAAATAAGAATAAAGAACTTAGCAAAGAGTAGAGTCCACCATTCAGAATAGATTTAAAAGCAGAGTAATCAGGTAAACCTCAGGAGGCTGAATTCACATAGACATGTTTTATTTGGGAGTTTCACCTATAAATTGGGAAATTTCACCTAAAAATTTCTATTCCAGGTTCTATAGCTAAATTAGACAATTCATAGCAACAATAGACTGGAGCCTGTTCTCATCCCTTAAAATGGAACATGAGCTCATCACAATTCCCATCATACCCTACTGTCTTTCATCTGCTCCACTAGATTATCTATTGGCTCATTTGCATTACTTGCCTGGCCCTCCTAGTATAAATAATTCTGACATTCCAAGGTTATCTTCTGGAACCCATAGTAATTAATGTGTTATAGTGAATGAGACTACTGAATCCCAGGAGAGAAGTTTCAGAGTCTATAAAGTACTAAGAGACCATCTCTGGACTATAAAGTTAAGAGGAAAAACTCCCCCATCATCACAGTATTTTGGCTTCTATTATTTCAATACAGTACCCAATAGCATGGATGACTATATATAAAACTGTACATGTGCTTTAATTCTTTTCAACATTATTTTATATTAGTTTCAGGTGTGCAGCATAGTGGGTAGACAATCATATACTTTACAAAGTGATCCTCTAAAATTTCAAGAACCCACCTGGCATTATATATCGTTATTACAATATTATTGATTACATTTCCTATGCTGTACTTTAGATCCCATGACTACTTTGTAACAACCAATTTGTACTTCTTAATCCCTTCACCTTTTTCACCACCACCCTACCCTCTGCCCCTCTGGCAACCATCAGTTTGTATTCTGTATCTCTGAGTCTGTTTCTTTGTTTATTTTGTTTTTTAGATTCCACATATAAGTGAAATCATATGGTATTTGTCTTTTTCTATTTTCACTTAGCATAATACCCGTTTTGGTCCAACCATGCTGTCACAAATGGTAAGATTTCATTCTTTTTTATAGCTGAGTAATTTCCATTGTATATAGTACCATAGGTTTTGTATCTACTCATCTACTGATGGACACTAGGGTTACTTCCATATCTTGTCTATTATTTAATGCTGCAGTGAACATAGGAATGTATATATCTTTTCAAATTAACATTTGGGGTTTCTTCAGCTATATACCCTGAAGTGAAACTGCTTGGTCATAAGGCAGTTCCATTTTCAATTTTTGAGAAACCTCCACACCATTTTCCACAGTGACTACACCATTTTGCATTCCCACCAACAGTGCACAAGGGTTCCTTTTTCTACATCATCGCCAAACCCTTGTTGTTTGTTGATTTATTGATGACAATCATTCTGACAATTGTGAGTATATATTTGTTCTTAGATGGGCTAACCAAACCCTACTATTTCCATTAAGATCCACTGTAGTAAGCCTAGTTCTAAAAGTACAGTATGTTGCCCAGTTGGTGTGGCTCAGTGGTCAAGTGTCGACCCATGCACCAAGAGGTTTCCAGTTTGATTCCCAGTCAGGGCACATGCCCAGGTTATGGGCCCAATCCCCAGTAGGGGCATGCAGGAGGCAGCCAACTGATGTTCTCTCTCATCGATGTTTCTATCTCTCTCCCTCTCCCTTCCTCTCTCTCTAAAAGCAATAAAGAAAAAAAAAAATACAGTATGTTAGGAAGCTGGTGAGAACTCCCAAATTTACATATGGTTTTTCTCTGTTTTGGGCTACTGCATCAACTCTGTCAGGACTTTGTCTTTCCAGGCCTTATCATTAAGGGGTGCTTCCAACCAGGCCCCTATTTGATAGCATGTTGTTAGTGGACAAGGCTCTCACAGAAAGTGACTGGCTCAAAGTGGTCTACACACCTTAGGGAAGTAGTTGAGAGTTAAAGAGGCTTTGGATTCAAATAAACCTTGGGCAAGCCACTTGACCACTCTAAGTCAGTTTCCTCACTTATAAAAATGCAGTGAATAATACCTAAGTATCCTAAGGTTGTTGTAAGGATTAAATGCAATCATATATAAAAAGGGCTTCCCAGTGACTGGCACATAGCTCAGTATCGTCCATGCTATCCTTATTAAGCCCATAATGGCAGACTCCCAGTTAAGACTGCAGGCAGACTCAAAGAGGTTTACATGGGAGATCTAAGACATTCATTACAATAATACAGATACACAGTGAAAGGGTGACTGCTTTATTAAATATGTAAGTGGAAATTCCTACCAGATTGAGTGGTTCTCAATCTCAGCTGCACAGTTAAATCACCTGGTGTACTTAAAAGAACTAATGATACCTGGGTCCAGCTCGAGATTATGATTTAATTGGTCTGAGGTGCAGCCATATATCAAGTTTTAAAAGCTCCCAGGTGATTCTAATGTGCACCCGAGGTTGAGAACCATAGTATTAGAGCTAAACCATAGACAGGTGTTAACCACCATTGGGCTTTGATTATAAATTAGTTTGACCAGGTAATTTGTTCCTTGATCACAATAAGCCTACAGAAATGATTCATAGGAATCTTTCTAGTAAACACTGTCTATTAATTTGAATTTAACAGATTCAATATCTAATCTAACATACAAGTCATTTGGTACAGGAGTACTCAGAATATAAAGAATTCAAAAGATCAAGTTGGAATCATAAATCTAAGCAATTTTTACACACCTTAGCAGTAATAGAAAAAGAGGGCCTTGGACACAGGTTCAGGGGGTTAGCCTGGAATCGAACCCACGACCCTTTGGCTGAGCTGCCATTGCCCATTGCTTCCCTGGTTACAATCTCGTGGAATCTCTGAGAGTTTAGGAGGTACATGCCTGTGGGGGAATTAGAGGGGGAAAGAAAAGGTGTGGGCTTGCTCAGGGGAGGGAGAATGCAACGACATTTTCTTCTAAGAAACATGATTTGAGAAAGTCATGGCTCAGTTCCTGGTAAAATCAATGTAATGTCTTATTTAATGTGTGTATTTACTACTGTGTCACTGGAACCCAAGAGGAAAGTGACCTGTCTGTGTTAACATTTGGTTTTCTGTTTGGTCACATTCCAGAAGAATTTCATCCTTAAGAGGTATTTCAGAATACTCTCAAGGCTGATGAAAATGAAACTCTGCCTCTTGAAGCTTAAAGGTATATGATTCCATATTTGTAGATCTCCTCTCATAAAGGAGATTAAACAGACTTAATTCAACTGGTACAATACAGAAAAAGAATTTATGGACTTTCCAGACCAGCCTATCTTCAGAGGTGTAAGCCCAAATGAAGCCTGTTAAGCACATAAGTTAGCCACATTAGTGGTTAATATGGGATAGAATGTGGTCAAGAAGCACAGACTGAAGTAATGACAATGTTTCCAAGCAATTTATAAAGATGATCCTGGAAAAAACATAACATAATAGTCTTAGATTAAGTGTTGGGGATAAATACAACAGACACATGCCTACCTTCAAAAAGCTTCTCATCTAGTGGAGAAGACATCAAATAGCACAGAAGTAAATATAAACACAAGACTGAGAAATATACAAAGGAAAAGTAGAGGGTGTTATGAAAACATATAGTAGGGTAATAAATGGGGTTGAGAGGGAAAATGCTGTCAAAGCAAGCTTCCCTAAGGAAGAAGAATATAACTAGGTAAGAAAGAGGAGAGACCTGGCCAGTTTGGCTCAGCAGTTGGAGTGTCGTCCCTCAGACCAAAGATTTGCGGGTTTGATTCCAGTCAAGGGCACGAACCTCGGTTGCAGTTCATTCCTCAGCCCTGGTCGGGGTCGTGTGGGAGGCAACCAATCGATGTTTCTCTCTCTCTCTCTCTTTCTCTCCCTCCCTCCCTACCTCTCTATCTGAAAATCAATAGAAAAATATCCTCAGGTAAGGATTAAAATAAATGAATGAATGAATGAATGAATGAACAAATTGGTAGTTACAAAATAGTCATGGGGGTGTAAAGTACAACATTGGGAATGTAGTCAGTAATATTCTAATAACTAGGTACGGTGACAGATGGGTACCAGATTTACCAGGATGATCACTTAGTAAGTTGTATAATGTCTAATCACTGGGGTGTACACCTAAAACTAATATAATACTGTATGTCAACTATGAACAATAAAAAGTGATTTAAAAAAAAATTCTAGGACATAAAACACTATTTTGTCATTAGTAATCAAACATTGCAATTAAGTGTGGAAGAGAGACGAGTCAGCTTGCTGCTGAGTTTCCTGGAAATACCTCCCTGTGAAGTTGCCCTGGACCTCACTCACTTGTAGAGCAGGCTGGGGGCCTTCACAGTACACTGGAAACCTTGCTGGGTCTGCACCACGTCGTAGCCATCACAGGGTTCTTCTGCACACTCCATGAAGCCTGCACAGAAACCGTAACATCTTGCACAGAGCTTCTGCTCTGTGGACAAGTCTTCTCCCCAGCTGACAACCACTCTCGAGGTTTAAAAACAGCAACACACACACACACACACACACACACACAGAAGAGCCTGACACTTTACACTGCAGAGCACTGCTCTGACATTCCTTGTGACCTGCTCTTAGAAGAAAAATAAACAATAAAAAACACATGACTATTTCAAATCTTCCAGTCTTAGAACCTTGGAAAATTAGTATGTACATACCACTGTTTCTCCCAACTGTTTTCTCTCAAAAAGCTAAGACATAATAAAAAAAGTTTTACTATTTTTTTATGGAAAGGTAATTCATGTAATATAAAATTCATTCTCTTAAAATGTACAACTCAGGTCCTGGCGAGTTTGGCTCAGCAGTTAGAGCATCGGCCTGCGGACCCGAGAGTCCCAGGTTCGGTTCCCGCTAAAGGCACATACCTCAGTTGCGGTTCTTCCCGGCCCTGGTTGGGGTTGTGCGGGTGGCAAGCAATCAATGTGTCTCTCTCATGATGATATTTCTCTTTCTCTTCCTCCCTCTCTCCCTCCTGCTCTATCTGAAGATAAATGCAAAAAAAAAAATGTATAACTCAGTTGTTTTTAGTATTAAAACAAAAAATTCCTCCAGTGACTAAACCAGGAGTGATGCTGGGAGAACTTACTCCATACAGCGGAGACAATGTAAAATAAAGGAGCTCAAAGGCCCCAAGGCTGAAGGGAAATAGTGGGGAGCATTAGGGAGACAAACCCCCAGGGCTTAGGCCCCAAAGAAAGCAAAGAACCTAAAAGGCCTTGCCAATTTATGCATTAAACCCAAGCCGAAGTTAATTAGCCTGAAAACATTTATAATCCATCTCGACTGTTCAGTTTATTTCTTAAAATTATCCCTATATAATAATAAAGTTGTGTATTTAGAATTGCCTGTATATGACTGCAAAGAAGAGAAAAATAACAATAATAATAGCCAACATTATTGGGCACTGTATAAAATACTTTACATATGTTCATTTATTTCAGCAATTTATATATATACATATGTGTGTGTATGTATTACTTCATACAACTTTACAGATAAAGGAAGTTACTTATCACAGAATATTAATGGTTAATCTTAACAATTAAAGTTATCCCTTATTACGTTGACACCCCTGTACAAAAATTAAATGTAACTTGACTTATGAACTGCAAGTGAGAACACCTCATCAAACTCAAACACATCTGTCCCCTTGAACATCAACACAAATGGAGCTATGAGAAACCAATCATCTCAAATTTCAGTACCTACAAAGAAACACACTGAAACAAAACACAGAACTTATTCTACAGTACACAGAACATTTTACTTCTAATCTGAACAAAGAGCAACTAGGATTACCTTGATAGAAGTCCTCATCCTCTTCTTCATGTTGGTAAGTCTGTTCTTGAATGGGATTCTTCCTATAAACCCGTCCACCAATTCTAATAAGCTGTGGGCGCAGAACTTCCATGATACTTTCCCAAACAATATTCCAGTGAAGTCTTGAAAAAAAGAAAGATCACCTTCTTTTGATCAGAAAGAAGACCCCTATCTCTATTATATGGATTATTATGTAGGCCTGAAAAGACATAATTAGGCATCAGTTCACAGTACATTCTAAGCAAAAGCAGCACTGTTTCCATTAGACCTCCCCTTTTTGTAAACTGTTTTAAGTCAAATGCTGCATTTTCCACTACATTATATCATTTCTGGCTGACTTTAGACAGTAATTTGTAAACTATGCAGCGGTACAAAAAAAGGTGATTAAAAGATACTGAACCCTTTATATACAGCCTGTACATGGTTTTGAAAGAAAGAATAGAGGTCTAGTTATTACTTTAACCTAAAAGGAATAAAATGCACCCTTCTGTGTTTAACCCCTTTCAAAGTGTTTCACCCTTTCTATGCAGCATGATAATTAATAGAATTAGGGATATTTAATACACAGCCCTCTGGGTGGGGGGAGCCCCTAGTACTTTCAGAGGTGCTTGAAATATACATCCAACAATTAGATCCGGTTACCTATGAAAACAGTTAAAATATGACTTAACCAACATGGTTCTTCAAACCAACACATTACTACTTAACTTGGGATGGTGAACATACAATATAGTGTACAGATGATGTTTTATGGAATTGTGCACCTGAAACCTGTGTAATTTTGTTAACCATTGTCACCCCAATAAATACAATTAAAAAAGTGGAGGGAACCCACATTGCTGAGGGGAGGAATCCAATTTCCACAGACCACTGCCCAACAAACTGTACACCACTCACTGAGAAGCCAAGTTTCTAGTCACAACTTAATGAATCAATAATTCAGGAAACAAGGGTTGCTTATGGGCTGGCTGTGTTTAAGTTCAACCAATGTTCCTACCACATAGGTGGATAGTCTTGAGACCCAAAATATATAAAGTTCCAAAGAAAGTAGATTAATCCTTAATAAATACACTAAGACTCAGTCCAATCCTCAGAAAGTACCTTTAATTGGTAGTTTGCTTACAGAACCAAGGAGAGCCCTGGCCAGTTTGGCTCAGCGGTTGGAGCGTCCACCCGCAGACCAGAGAGTTCCGGGTTCGGTTCCCGCTAAGGGCACGTACCTCGGTCGCAGTTTGTCCCTGGCCCTGTTTGGGGTCGTGTGGGTGGCAGCCCCTCGATGTGTCTCTCTCACATTGATGTTTCTCTCTATATATCCCCCTCTCTCCCTCCTGTCTGATGGCCTGGGGACTGGCGCCAGGCAAAGTGCTCGACCATTGTCTCCCTTGCTCAGCCTTGCCTCCCACCCTGAACGACCTGCCTTGAGTTTGTAGATTAACTCCCATCTTGCTCTTATCGATTCACATTCCAGAGGCCCCATGCATAGCCCCCGCAGGGTCAAACCCTAAGGGACAAATTCCAGCTACAACAGGCAGATATAAAAGACACAAGCCGCTACATTGAGCGCGGCTTCTAGGACTCAACCCCCGGAGTCTGTGAACCTGCCCGGAGTGCACCCAATAAAGCCTGATCCCTGTTTATTCGGCTGATTGGCTCTCCAGTCTCTCTTCTGTTTTATTCGGCGGCGCCCCCGATTCCTTACACCTCCCATTCTATCTGAAGATAAATGCAAAAATGTCCTTGGGTGAGGATTAAAAAAAACAAAAAAACAGAACCAAGTAGAGATTTTATGTTGTGAGAGATAACATAGCAGGAAAAGAGGCTTGAATGGAGAAGAGAGGGGCATAATTAGCAATAACTTAATGGCATTCCACACTAGTGAAAGGGGCAGGAGAAAATAACAGAACTAATCCTAGTGGCATACTAACCATAGTTACAAGAAATGGTAAGCATCCTTTGCAATGTTAATCGTGGTTGCTTTGTTCTGATTAAAGAACAGCACACTCTGACCTGGCTGGGAGGTGTGTGCCTCAGAAGCTCACCTCAGGAATGCTGTCCATTCTCCTAACCTGAGGACAAGGGGGACTACCTGACACGTGGAAAGATGAACAACCTGATTATCGGAACACTGGCCCAGGGACCGTGACTCACTGGCAACCAGCCTCTGTAGCCCCCAGCCCACATTCCTCCCCCTTGCCAGAAACCTTTTAAAATCCCCGCTCCCAGCCCACGTTCCTACCCTCCTGCCTGTAACCATTTTAACTGCTCACCCCTATTAAAGCAGCTGGCAAGTGAGGGTGGGCAGAGATTGTCGGGGATGACCCCTTGCTCTCCCACACTGCCAGCAATGTTGGAGTAAACCCTCTTCTATGCTCCGGACTATTCAACCATGTCTTTGCTTCACTGGCTCAAGTAATGACAGGTGGTCCGGACCCATTTGTGGTCCGGTTTCACCAGCACCCTATTTCCCCAAGACCTCTGAAGAAAAAGGCTCTCCACAAAAGACTTTAATGTCAAGGTCAGGCCCTCCCCCAGGAGCTCTGGAAGAAGAGAGGGTTGCCTCAGGCACGACACACTTCATTTGCCTTTGCTACTCAGCCCTGGGCTACGAAAATGCTCAGAAGTAAGGGGGAATACCCAATTTATCCCTGCTCCCTGGTGGTCTGCAGAGGTAGAGGAAAGCAGAAGGCCTGCAATGTCGGGGGGGAAGCTGAAGCCCTGAATCATAAAAACCGAGATACGTCAACGTAACTAAACAAGACTCGGTTGCTGCTGCGGATACACCGCGGTTTGCAGAAGAGACCCGGAAGTCCTCTCCGGAAGCGCGTTCCCGCTCCACTCCGCCCGGCCACGCCCACCATTACTCGGGCGCGAGCACGCCGCCGTCCTCGTCGTTGTCAGCGCGGCCGCCCGGCTGAGGCACTGGGGGTGGGGCTGTAGGGGAAGTGCCAAAGCCGCTGAGGTAAGTGGCCGAGGGCTCAGGGACCCTCAGGAGCTTGGTGAAAAGGGAGTTCATCCTTGGGATCCTACCTGCAGGGACTAGTGAAAAGGAGAAGCTAGGAGAAACAGGAGCCTGCCGCAGAGGGCGTGTAAAAGGAAATTTCCTCAGGCCTCGACGGGCTAAGTGCGCTTGCGCACCTAGTGTTGGCGCATGCGCAGTGGACCTCTGAGGGGGTGGAATAGGGCTTTGTGGGGAGTGTGGCTTGAAATTATCTTGGGAACCTCTGACATTCTGACTCCTCCCCTCTCCAGCCCTTTCCCCACCTGGTTTTAGCCGTAGCACCTGTTTGAGTGGTAATCCAGCTATTTAAGTGGGATACAGTGGAACGATTTGTTGATGGAATTTAATGATGGCTTATAATAGTTTGTCATTGTACCACGTTACCTCTTTCATCGTCTATATTTTGAATAAGACTTTTTCAAAACGAAGTAATTTTTCTTAACAAAATAGGCATATATCTGTTAGGAAGGAAAAGGAGTTTATGATGCGAAGTCGTCCCTCGTGTGGTAAGTAAATATTTAGTCATCTTAGTGTGGACACATCCATTCTGTGTCTCCCCAAAATAGCATTGCTCTTCTATGAGGATCTTCATTGCCAGTAGTCCCAGCTTCCTTGATCAGGCCAAACCCCAGTTTACTTCATCATCAATATTTTATTCATTTAACAAAATCTTACTGAGCCACCTACTTTGGGCCTGGCAGCCTAGTGGGAGAGGGTTGTGTAAATAGATCTGTAGAATGAGGAAGAAAAAGAAAACAGTAATGAATTAATCTTTATGACACCAAGCTTCTCTATCCCCTTCATAACCTTTGCTGAGCTGCTAGCACTGTGTTCTGTCATTTATTCATCGTTCCTGCAGGAAACATTGTGATACAGATTCTATACTAGGTCTTTTTCTTTCCCACTTACAGTTGACTTTCATATTTTCTACTTGGCCATGTGACCAGAACTCTGTGCCAGGACATGGCGGTAGAAAGACAGCTTCCCCCTTTCCTATATCATAGGATTCTTCCTAAGATCAAGAACCTTAAAATGAAAGTGTGAAGTGTATTAATGGAGGGCATTTTTCCTCTTCCTGAGCAGACACTTCCCCCTTAGAAGCTTGCTCACCCAATGTCACATGCACAGAATTCGAACTTTTCCCATGAGTGTGTTAGGACATAATAAGTACAAAAAGCGGATCTGCACAGGGAAAAAAAAGATTCAAGAGTAAGTATTCATTAGTGATTTGGGATAGCTAATACTATTGTTTACTGTGCCTATAACTGTTCCAAATGCTTTCGTTATATTAATCTTTGTGACATCTCTGAGGTAGGTGCTATTATTATCCCTGTTTTAGAGATGAAGCAGCTGAGGAACAGAGGTAAAGAGATTTTTCCAGAATTACACAGCAAGTAGCAAAAATCAGGACCTGAACGCAGGCCTAGAAGCTTCAGAATCTGAACTTTTTTTTTTTTATCCTCACCCAAGGACATTTTTTTTTTTTTTTCATTTTTTGTTCAGATAGAGTGGGAGGGAAAGAGAGAAAGAGAGAGAGAGAAAAACATCGACGTGAAAGGGACACATCGAGTGGCTGCCACCCGCACGACCCAACCAGGGCCGTGGACAAACTGCAACCGAGGTACATGCCCTTAGCGGGAACCAAACCCGGGTCTCTCTGGACCGCAGGCTGACACTCTAACCACTGAGCCAAACTGGCCAGGGCATGAACTTTTTTTTTGATGGATGAGGGAGAGACATCGATCAGTTGCCTCCTGTATTCAGGCTTAAACCTGAAACCTCGGTGTAAGTCCTGACCGGGAATCAAACCCGAAATTTGTTGGTATATGGACGACACTCCAACCAAGTGAGCCACACTGGCCAGGGCCAGAATCTGAACTCTTAACCACTATGTTATTTCACCTTTCACATGGCACATGACGTGCCAACAAAGCCGTTGCTTGAAAAATGTCACCGCAAATAAGCTAAAGTCTCTATGCCTCAGTTTTGTTTTGTCATCTATAAAATGAGGGAGTTGGATTAGAAGACCTTTAAGGAATCTTATGATTCCTGTGAAATGTTTAGCTCATGTAGCAAACATTTATTTAAATCTGCTACTTGGTGTATACCAGGCATTATGTTGGTTCTCATGATCAGAATGCCTTCCTTCATAGAGCAGTTATAAACCAGGGTTTATTGTTAGTTTCACTTTAATTCCTGTTATCATCTGCTGATAGCATTCAAAATTTAACCTAAATCTTTAAAATTTGAAATTACTCAGGTGTATCTCTTCACCTCAGCAGAAAACTGCTTATTTATGTTAAAGTTAGCTTTGTGCTAATTCTGCACTCCAGTTTTCAACCCTGGCTGTTTCGTGTATTGAATGATAGTTGTTCTGAATTTGAAAGAAAATAGGATGGGCCACATCTACAGTGAGAGGATGAAGACCATTCTCAGCAATCAAACTGGCAACATCCCAGAAAATGTGGACATCACTCTGAAGGGACGCACAGTTATTGGAAAGGGCCCCAGAGGCACCCTGCAGAGGGACTTCAACCACATCAATGTAGAACTCAGTCTCTTTGGAAAGAAAAAGAAGAAGCTTTGGGTTGACAAATGGTGGGGAGACAGAAAGGAACTAGTCATGGTTCGCACTATCTGCAGTCATGTACAGAACATGATCAGGGGTGTTACACTGGGCTTCCGTTACAATGTCAGTATTCAGGAGAATGGTTCTCTTGTTGAAATCAGAAATTTCTTGGATGAAAAAAAAAATACATCCACAGAGTGCGGATGAGGTCAGGTGTTGCTTGTTCAGTATCTCAAGCCTGGAAAGATGAGTCGATTCTTGAAGAAAACAACATTGAACATTGTATGAAGTTCAGCTGCTTTGGTTCAGCAAGCCACAACAGTTAAAAACAAGGATATCAGAAAATTTTTTAACAGTACCTATGTTTCTGAGAAAGGAACAGTTCAGCTGGCTGATGAATAGGATCTAAGTTGTTCGGCTATAGAAATACCAAGATGCCAAATGATTTGTCACACTTATTTGCGATATTTTAAAGATGCAATAAAAGCCTCCTATTGATTTGGGGTGGAGGGATAAAATAGGATGAAAGGGAATTTCTTTTATGATACTCAGTTTAGAAGTCACATTGTATCTAGCCTTTGAAGCTGCCCTCACTGTGGCAGTCAGCTTGAGTGCTCTGCTGAGCAACTTGGTTTGAAAATATAAAGTACCCCTTACAGCCCTGGCCAGTTTGGCTCAGCGGTTAGAGCGTCGGCCTGCGGACCAGAGGGTCCCAGGCCATACCACTAAGGGCACGTACTTCGGTTGCAGTTTGTCCCCGGCCCTGGTTGGGGTTGTGTGGGTGGCAACCACTTGAGGTATCTCTCTGGCATCGATGCTTCTCTCTCTTCCCCCCTCTCTCTTTCCCGCTCTATCTGAAGATAAATGCAAAAATGTCCTTGGGTGAGGATAAAAAATAATAATAATAAAGTACCCCTTACATTTGCAACTGAGTAAAGCACATATCAAGGTGTGGGGAAAAGATTAGAGTTTAAGCCTTAGGTGAGATATATACACAGTTCACAATGGGTTCTATTCTGAACTGATGGGAAATAATACTGAGCTACTCCCCAAAAGATAGCTAAGTTGTCTATAAACTTTATTTAGATTCCAAGAGGAATTTACTTAGAAATTTGGATCTGGTCCATTACTGCTTATGTTTTTATAAAGAGAATTTTTAGCCCTGGCTGGTTTGGCTCAGCGGTTAGAACATCAGTCAAGGGCACATACCTGGGTTGCAGGTTCAATCCTGGCCCCTTTCACGGTCACTGGGGTTATGCAGGAGGCAACCAATTGATATGTCTCTTTCCCTCCTTCCCTTCCACTCTATCTAAAAATCAATGGAAACATCCTCAGGTGAGGATTAAAAAAATGCACACACACACAAACACTTTTTAGAGTCTTTTATAAATTTATGGTATAAGCTTCTATGGCAAAGGTAGTATTTTTGTTTTGAACTTTTGTAAGGAGTCATGTATTCAGTATAGGTTTTATCATCTACATTTGGACTTTTTGACTTTTTGATTTTTTGACATGATAAGAGATAAAACACTTAATAGCTGCTCTATTCCTAATGGGCCGTGAATTCTGAAATCATTTCCGAGCTGTTTTGTTCCAGTCTTGGGACGCCACCAAGTGATCAACTTGCATATTACATTTGCATGAAAAGGTCTTTTTAAAATGTTAATACTAAAAGGGCCAATATGTACTTCCTAACCAGTTCCCCTTCCTTGGGAACAGAACACAGTGTTATTCTGGAATTTTATTTGGAAAATTTTAAAGTCAATTTTGCTGTGGCGTGGTCAGGATGTATCCAAGACAAACTGTCCTATGAGGCATGGTTGTTTTATCCTCATATAATTTATTTCCTCAGTCAAATTACTACCTTGGCATGGTCCTGTCACCCTTTCCTAACTCATAAATCACCCACAGTCAATCCCAAGCAATTTAAACAGTTTACTAATGGTAGGAAGTAGTGTTTTAAGTAGAAAAACTAAGAAACATATCTTCACTTAAAATCTGAGTGACATTTTGGCCTGAGGGATCAATAAAAGATTGTAAGAGTAGAGAGGGTAGAAAAAAGGGAAGCCAATTTTTTTTAAATATGTTTTTATTGATTTTTTAGAGAGGGAGGAAGGGAGAGATAGAAACTTCAACATGAAACATCCATCTGCTGCCTCCTGTACGCCCCCTACTGAGGATGGAGCCTGCAACCCGAGCATATGCCCTGACCAGAAATCGAATCCAGACCTCTCAGTCCTTAGGACAGCGCTCAGTCCACTGAGCCACACTGGCTGGGCGGGAAGCCAATTCTTTTACTAAATTTATGCTGGCTTTTATGGCAGCTAGAATGAAATGTTGTCAATCTCACTCCCATAAATGTGCCAATTGCTGTTTTTCTTTCTCTGCAGTGAAGTGAGAATTCTACTAGAAAGGAAATGGCTGCCTCTTCATCATCCTCCTCAGCTGGTGGGGTCAGTGGAAGTTCTGTCACTGGATCTGGTTTCAGTGTCTCAGACCTTGCCCCACCACGGAAAGCCCTTTTCACCTACCCCAAAGGAGCTGGGGAGATGTTAGAAGGTGATCTCATGTTGCTTTTTGCTGATAATTGAATTCAGACCTGCAGTGACTGTTCATTATAAAGATGCTATTAAGTGGATTAGAGAAGAATTTGCCCCGATTTCAGCTCCACATTTCATCTTTTGTCCCCATTTTAAAATAATATCTTTAAAATACAAATCTCCAGAATCAGAACTTTGGAGCTGAAAAACACTGGAAGTCAAGGAGATCATCTAGAGTTTTGTTTTTTTTTTTATCCTCACCTGAGGATATTTTTTTTTTTTTTTCTGTTTATCTTCAGATAGAGTGGGAGGGAGGAAGAGAGAGAGAGAAAGAGAAACATCAACTAATTGCCTCCCGCACAACCCCACCAGGGCCAAGGACGAACTGCAACTGAGGTACGTGCCCTTGACTGGAATGGAACCTGTAACTCATTGGTCAGAGGGCCAACGCTCTAACTGCTGAGCCAAACTGGCCAGGGCCATCTAGAGTTATTTAGACCCAGGAAAGTTAAAATGATTTGCCCAGCCCTGGCCGGTTTGGCTCAACAGTAGAGCGTCGGCCCAAGGACCAATGAGTCTTGGGTTCCATTCCAGCTAAGGGCACCTACCTCAGTTGCAGTTAATCCCCAGCCCTGGTCAGGGTCATGTGGGAGGCAGCCAATTGATGTGTCCCTCTCACATCAATGTTTCTCTCTTCCTTTCTCTCCCTCTCTCTCCCCCTCCCACTCTATCTGAAGATAAATAGAAAAATATCCTCGGGTGAGGATTTTAAAAAAAGAAAAAATGATTTGCCCATGTTAAAAGACAAATTCAGCACTGAAACCAGGAGTTCTCCTGACATCCTGCTCCAGTTTGCTTTATCCTGGCACCAGCCTGTCTCCCTATGATTAGTAGGTTTGATGTATTTTGTCTTGTGTAGTTAATCTAAAGATAGACTAACTCCACCAAAGAGGTTCTGAGAAGAAATCAAAACTAATATGCTACTTTTATATGTGCAGATGACTGTGCTGGCCCACTTCAGGACAGTGCTGTGTGGTTTTTCTAGCACTAGAGATGGATTTTGCATCATACTATCCATCTTATTCAGCACACATTTGCAAACTGGCTGGGTGAGATAAGGGCACAGGCTATAAGCACAAAATGTCATTGGTACTTGGAATTCATCTTACTTTAGGAGCTACATCAATAAATTCTTAATGGGGATCATAAAAATCACCTGAAGAGTTTACTGAACTCCACATGCCTGGCCAACCTTAGCAATTCTGAATTAGTAGGGTGTAGCACAGGAATCTTTTTTTTACTAACACCCAGGGGAGTCTCATTAAAATGATCCTTAACTATTAAAATTTTATCATGCTTTGGAAAAAGTCAACATAGAACCTATTAAGAATTCAAAATCTACTTGATTCTAGCACTTTTGTGTTTAATTATATATTGATCTTTTTTGCTTTAAATATTGCAAATTTCGGTAAGTGTATTTAATCTGAAAATGTCTCTGAGAAAGGTATAGACCCAGTTGGAGTCCGTTTCTGGGGGTGCTCTTTATTCATTTATATCAGGTATAATAAAAAACAGTTTGGGGTTAAGCCAGGACAAATAGAAGAATCATTTTGACGGGAAAATATGGAAAGACCAGGACCTTAAGGCTTCCTAGAATTGGTTCAAATCATGGTTACTGACGTAAACAGTAGAGTAACACAGTTAGTAGTACATCTGAAGTGTGTGTACTTGTGTCTTTGCCTTTTCACTTTCTTCAGTTATGTTAGCAAAAATTCGAGTTAGTGTCACTGAGTCTGGAGGTAGTAATATAGGCCTTATTTTCCATATTTGACATTGAAAATATATTATGACTTTAATTAGACATAGCAGAGTTTTGGTATTAAGGAAGTTTCCCATAAAACAAATCAAAAGTTGGGGGCATTTAAATTGTTTAATGAGCAGCAGCAAAAAAAAACAAAATTGCTTAATGAGTTTTATAGCAGCAGAAGAGGAATCAATGTTTAACAATGGACTCTAAAATTGAAGTCATTTAAATTCTACCTACAGGAGGCATTTAATACTGGAGATACCTCCTTAGTCTCAAAGCTATAAGCATTCTTTGTCAGTGTACACAGATTACTTAGAAACATTGAAAGAGGAAAGGCTTCTGAGATTAGTTTGAATGTTGATGTTTTAACAAGTTACAGTTCTGTCCATTTTTATTCAATCAGTGTGCTTTATGGAGGACTGTGTTGGCTTTCTAGTGTAGGATGAATTAAGTTTAAATTCACAGTGCACAGTTTTGATTCTCTTTCTTAAGTTTAAAGTTTCGCCCATATTTTAAAGCTGCTTACACTTCAGGACAGAATATGAAAAATTAGAGATGGCAATCCCTGAACTGTCTTGTTCAAATCAAGAATGTTAAATTGTCCCACTTCTAGGAATATACCCCAAGAAGCCTGAAACACCAATCAGAAAGAATATATGTACCCCCATGTTCGTAACAGCACTATTTACAATAGCTAAGATCTGGAAACAGCCCAAATTTCCATCAGTACACAAATGGATAAAAAAGCTGTGGTACATATACACAATGGAGTACTATGCAGCTGTAAGAAAGAAAGATCTTTTATCCTTTGAGATGACATGGAGGGACCTGGAAAGTAGTATCCTAAGCAAAACAAGCCAAACAGAGAAAGACAAGTATCATATGATCTCACTTATTTGTGGAATATAATGAACATAACAGTCTGAGAAATGGGGTAGTCCCAGAGACGTGGAAGTGGGGTACAGACTGACAATCCCTAGAAGAGGGGGTGGTGGGGGGAGAGATAAACCACAGAACTTATATGCATGTACGCATGAACAGTGGACATGGACAACAAAGCTGGGGACAGGGCAGGGAGGAAGGGGGAGGGGGGAATCAGTGGGGGTGAAAGGAGAAACATCTGTAACAAAAATAAATTAATGGAAAAAAAAGAATGTTACATTGAAAAGAGTACTCCTGCCCTGGCCGGTTTTGCTCAGTGGTTAGAGCATCGGCCTGCGGTCCGGAGAGACCCGGGTTCGGTTCCCGCTAAGGGCATGTACCTCGGTTGCAGTTTGTCCCCGGCCCTGGTTGGTCGTGCGGGTGGCAGCCACTCGATGTGTCCCTTTCACGTCGATGTTTCTCTCTCTCTCTCTTCCTCTCTCTCCCTCCTACTCTATCTGTGCAAAAGATGGAAAAATGTCCTCGGGTGAGGATAAAAAAAAAAAGAGAGAAGAAAAGAGTACTCCTAAATGTGAGTTAATAAGGATGTTAGATTTGAAAGCCATCTTCTGCCATACTTACAGGTGATACTGTTTTGCAGTTAATATTACCATGTACTAAACCATTTTTTTTAACCATTTTTCTTAACAGTACTTGAATTGAATATGAAAATAGAGTAGGAAGAGTTGCCTGTTCAAAGGAACAAAAACGATCAGGAATCAAGGTTGGATGCTGTTTATAATCTTAACAGGTTCAACTTGATCTTGTATCCTCCTAAATCTAGGATAATAAGCCCAAATAACCTGTAGTTAGCCTTGTAAATTAACTTTTTTGTGCACCTACCTGCTCTCTGATAACAGACATCTCACATAAGCAGTACACAGCAGTTTTCAGCATTCTCCTGCCCTTTGGTAAGATTGTCCTCACCCAATTATTAGTAAGCTTTCCAGCCCAGAAGTGGCTGAATTTTAGTGACATTGTAGGCCACTGAAGTGAAAATTATCTGACATTGTCTAACTTCTTGTTGTGAAATGAATTTTTTTTTTTTATCCTCACCTGAGGACATTTTTCCATATTTTGTTCAGATAGAGTGGGAGGGGGGGAGAGAGAGAGAAAAAAACATCGACGTGAAAGGGACACATCGAGTGGCTGCCACCTGCACGGCCCAACCAGGGCTGGGGACAAACTGCAACCGAGGTACATGCCCTTAGCGGGAACCGAACCCGGGTCTCTCTGGACCGCAGGCTGTCGCTCTAACCGCTGAGCCAAACCGGCCAGGGCTGAAATGAATTATTTTAAATGAATTTGTTATTCATTTATTGGAGTTGCAATGGTGTTAGATTTGGGCAATTTACTGAACTTTTCAGTATTTATAACCTTTGCTTGCCTCTTAAGAGGAAAGCTGATATATTGCTACTTGGTGTGTTACAATGGGTTTGATTACAGTTTCTAAATGGAAGACAGATTGCCCCAGGCTGACGACTCTCTGGAGAAATTCCAGGCTTTAGATTAGTACAGATATCACATTTAATAGGATGTGGCTAGGAAGCAGTGGACGTTGTGGTTAATACAGAGCTGCACATCAGCAAAAGTGTATTCCATAAGCACATAGAGTGGAAAGTGCAAGTGGCAAGGGCACACAGAAAGGCGTAGAGTGTCTATCTGAAAGATTAGCTTACATCCTTTGGCTTTGAAGTTTATTACCAAGGGAAATATGCAAATGTTATAATTTAAGCATTTTATCCTAATAGCACCAGTGATTAAATGTAAGTAGAAGGTAGCATTTCCAAGAGCTTCCAAATATATCTTGGCCTGATCCTTACAGCTCATTAATCCCCACTGCCTTGTTTGAGATTTCAAGTTCAGTATAGTTCAGGATCAAACTACCTGAGAAGTGAGCTCTAATTCTCTATGCTTTGCTCTTTCTAAAATAAAACTTCAGTTATAATTTGACTCTTTAAACAAGGGTATGACTAGGATAATGAACACTGGTGTATCTACACAGAAGAGCTATAACAAATTGTGTCGTTGTTGTCAAATGTTCAAACAATCCCTCTTCCCGTAGTGGAATTTATAGTTACTTGTTGCCCAATTAGCTAAAAAACTCAGTGATATCATTAGCTTACCTAGATCTTTAAAGTGGACAGTCAGTATAATATTTAGTTCTTTGAAAGTAATTTTTTTTGCTCAGTGTAGATGATCTGCTCACAGCTGACTTACATTCAGCCAGAGGAATGGGAGTGGGAGGAGAAGATAGGATTATATCCCATATAGCACAATATGGAGAAAAGAAGTTGAATTTAAAGAATGTAACACTCTCCCTAAAATGTCCATCACTTTATAAAATAAATATTTTGAAATAATGCATAATATGTATGAAAATAAATTTTTTGTATCCATTTTGAAGATAAAATTGGACAAAAGGAGCACTTTTGGTTGTATATTCAAGATATCTAGACACAATACCTGTGGTTTTTCTTATTGTTTATCATGCTTACTGAAATAAGGTCTGCCTTGTGTGAAACTCAGCATGAAGTCAAAATGTGTTAGTCCTAATTCCTTATCACTTAATACCTGGCTGACATACCAACCCATGATTGATGGGTGAATGTTGGATACCTGGCAGTGCTGGCATGAACTACCACCTAAAAAAAGGACAGCTGTGTCCTCTCCCTCCATTGGTTTTAGGATTTTTGCAATAAAGTACCTTCTCCAAATGGTTTGAGCTACCCTTCTAAAAGCCACATTTTCCTATATGACCTCTATGTCATTTGGGGTCTGTTTTGCTGTTTCTGCCCTTGCCTGACTAGGAATAACATGAGCTAGCTTATATTTCAGTCATCTTCCAAATGCTGTGGTGACTGAGTTAGCTACCTTCTTGTTGCCAGTTCTTGGCACCAGTACAGTGCTAGGTTCTGAAATTGCACTGTACTCTTATCGCCATCCAAATTGCAATGTTTTGGTTCAGTTGGAAAATCAAGGTTACAATTTGCGTTGACAGAATGAAATTTCCCAGCAGTGTTTTGTCATGGTCATAATGATGTAATTTGATATACTGAAAATCAACAACAGCTATTTTTCCCTCAGCTTGACTTTTGAGAATGAAAATGAGTACGAGTTTTGGTGTACCTTTGTATTTTGATAGCACAGTGGCACCTGGCCAAAGCTGTCAGTGTTTGCCTGACATACAGAACAGGAGAACATTAGAAAACTATCGGGCTGGGAGGGGGGAAATGTTGACCAGGACATCAGACTGAGGTTTCTTGTTTTTGTTTATGTAAACCCTATTTTTAAATTCTTAAACAAGTAGAGGAACTATTTTAATATTCTAGGTATAGAAGAAATAGCTTTTATAGCAGAGCAGTAGTATTAGTTCTCAAATGAAACAGAAGCCCTCTTAGTAAATACTGAAAAGTAGACCCTGGATATAAAAGCAGGATAAAACCCTGGCCGGTTTGGCTTAGCACTTAGAGTGCTGGCCTGCAGTCCAGAGAGACCCAGGTTCGGTTCCTGCTAAGGGCATGTACCTCAGTTGCAGTTTGTCCCCGGCCCTGGTTGGTCATGTGGGTGACAGCCATTCGCTGTGTCCCTTTCACATTGATGTTTCTCCCTCTTCCTCTCCTTCCCACTCTATCTGAACAAAAAATGGAAAAATGTCCTCAGGTGAGGATAATAAATAAATAAATAAAAGCAGGAAAAAGAATGGGCATGTTTACTAGGCTTATGGGAGCCATAGAACCCTTAGAGCAGATTAAAACTTTTCCTGTTTTGTTTGTAGATGGCTCTGAGAGATTCCTCTGTGAATCTGTGTTCAGCTATCAGGTGGCGTCTACACTGAAGCAGGTGAAACATGGTAAGCACATGAGTGTTGTGTATTAACTATGAGAATACATTTCTGGGGCAGAGGATAGAGAGGGGGATTCAGAAAGGTCAGTGTATGCTTTGTGACAAACTCCTGAAATTCAGCAAGGCTGTTTTGTGGACTTTCTAAATTACCTGCAGACAAGAACATTTTACAGCCTTAATCCAGACATACTGTCCTCATTAAGGCTTAAATTTGAAGTCAAAAGGGTTAGTTTTCTAGGGGAGTTACAGCTGCTACTCTTGTGTTGCTTTTCCTCTCCTTTCTGAAAACTTCTTTTAGTGTCATCCTCCACTGGTTACCATCATCTTCATCTTCAAGTGTTTATGTAATACTGCTGGTCTACCTGGCTCAGCTCCTGTAGCACCTTGTCTGTTCCATCATGCTGCACTAGGCTTCACTTACACATCAGGAAACTGGGTTCCCCCACCAGATCATTTCACCATTGAAGGCATGATGTCGGAGGAAAGCTGCAATCGCCTATAACCCTAGGATTTTAGTACACATCGCTTTACTACTTTTTTTTAAAGATTTAAGTCTGTGACCAACATAGAATAAGACCCCATTACTAGACTATTGAGGAAAAAATTCCTTGTAGAAATTACTTTTAAATCATCATCATCATGTTGGTGGTTGGTGACTGTCTAATGAGAAATACATTGTATTATGTATTACCTCCTTGACTCTTTACAGATCAGCAAGTTGCTCGGATGGAAAAACTAGCTGGTTTGGTAGAAGAGCTGGAGGCAGATGAGTGGCGGTTTAAACCCATCGAGCAGCTGCTGGGGTTCACACCCTCTTCCTGTTGACCTTGCCTGGGTGGTCACCTCTGGTGTGCACAGCAAGTGCAGGGCCAGCGAGGAACTTTCCTTACTGCTTACATAGCCATCCAGAGTTCACAGTTTCATCACTGAATTGTTCATTCACATCAGTCAGTACTTGTTTAATTCACATCAGTACTTGGTTTCTCTGTTTCTATCCACAAGCAACAAATATTTAAATGTGTGATCTTGCAGGGAAAATTTTTGTTTGTTTAAAACATTGAGAATTAGGTTAAGACAATCGGCATCAGAGAACCAGGAGGTCTGGGTAAGAGATGTATAAAACTTCGCAAACCAGGTAGGTCACACGCCAGAATTGGCCAACGGAATGGCTCCTCTCCTGACATTCATGCAGTGCATGGAATCCTCACCGGTCAAGCTTAGGTCAGGATCTGGAGTTGTAAAATACAGCATTTCCGACCTAAAACATTCTTTTTGCTAATGAATGTGATTTCTACTCAGGACCTAAGTGAGGAATTTTTAAATGTTTAGGGTTTTTTCTATTTTTAGACACCTAATTCTATAGATTCTAACTTTTTCTAACCTCTTTTAGACATGCCAAATGCTGGCAAAAAGAATTGTTTTTTGAATATTGAAGCACTTGTAAGAATAAAGCAGTGAACAAAATCCTTTAAACACAGAAGTCCTGAGTTCCTCTTGTTGGTGGACTCAAGCAATTCTGTAGCAAATAAATCCTTTGAAAGAGCTCCAAATTGGCTTCTTTATCCTTTCAAAGTCTCAGGGATTTGGGTTAGGGGGAGGAGGTCAGATTATTTTTTATAAGACAGGAATCTGAAAACCATTTCTCCTAAGCAAATGGGAGATTTGCTTTATCTCAGGAATATTTTGTCTTTACAAAAGTATATGAATTTATCAATATCTGAGTAGGTTTTTAGATCATGATAGGGAAAAACCTAAAAAGGGAAAAGGTGTCCTTTGTTCTCCCTCATGGAACCCATGTCCACACTGTACAAATAAGAGAATCATTTATTAGATTTTATGCAAATTTTGCCTCAGAAACATTTGCCTTTCTCCTCATTAATAACTTGTAACTGACCTACTTAGAGTTGCTTAATTATGAATAAATATAATCTCAGTAGCAACTGGCCTTAATCTCAGGAGTTCAAAATGTTTAGCACGTACGACCTGACAGGGAGGTGGCAGCCTCATTGCGCTGGTAAGGAATCTGAGCACAGAAGTCAAAGGCCTGCTCGCAGTCACACAACTCAGGGAAGAAAACCTTGGAATTGGAATATATTCCAGCTGATAATTCAGCCCACTGCTCTTGTCTCTAAAGCACATCAGAGCACCAAAATTGCGAGCCCATATTAATTTCTCAACCCAAACAAGCTTCATATTTGAAAACCAATGAGTTCCCTAATGTACTTCTTTTTTTTTTTTTTTTATCCTCACCCGAGGACATTTTTCCATTTTTTGTGCAGATAGAGCAGGAGGGAGAGAGAGAGAGAGAAACATCAGTGTGAAGGGACACATCGAGTGGCTGCCACCCGCACGACCAACCAGGGCCGGGAACAAACTGCAACCGAGGCACGTGCCCTTAGCGGGAACCGAACCCGGGTCTCTGTACCGCAGGCCGACGCTCCAACCGCTGAGCCAAACCGGCCAGGGCCCTAATGTACTTTTTAGCATCAACTATGGATTATTACCAAAGGAAAAAAATAAAAATACGTAGATGCAGTAGACCTTTAAATCATATTTTCAGTGACAATTTAGAAGCAATCACTAATTTTCTCTCTTGGTTTCATTTGTAACAGACACTGTATTAGCTCATCTTTACCCTTTGGTGTTTGAACTTACAGAATTTTTTTCTCTTTAAATTGGACATTTCTCTTTATGAGTTTAGAAACTGAAGAGATCCTAGAGTTGAATGGAAATGCTTTCTGAAGCACCTTTCCCAGTGATCATTCAGCAGCGGCTTGATGCTGCCAGGAAAAAGACCCTCATTGTTTAAGTTAGCCGCCCCCACCCCTGCACCTTTTGGTTGGTTATTATGTTTCATCATTCACAACTCCTGTTACCATGCTTTGAGCCTGGAGGCGGACCTTGCTGCTCATCTGTCATCTCTGCACTCATTATGTGCCAGTCAGTCACAGGCATTAATTATAATCCTTTCAGGACACTGCAAGACATGTAATGCCCTCATTGCGGATGAGGAACCTGAAGCCCAGAGCGGGCATGACTTGCCAAGGCTGCATGGGTCAGTAAATGGTCAAGTCTGCGTTTGAACTCCAAGTCTGCCAGACTCCAAAGCTGAGATTATTTTCGATGCACGATGCTGCATCCCACTGAGCCCATCCCAGTGTCTTATATAAAGAAAACACCTAACGTTCTTTTTATGATAAAATGAATTAACTACCTGGAGGAAATAAGCCTTGTCTCAGTACTTGGTCTCAAGCACAATGAAGGAACAGCCTCTTTAAGAACTGATAGGAATTAACTATGTTTGTATGTGCATAACCTTTTAATATTCAGTACGGTGAAAGTGTAGTTCTGTCCTTGAGGGTAAGATGTAAGGAGGAAGGCAAGAGGACGGAGCAGCTGTGGACCAGGACTGCACAGACAACCATGCTAAGGAAGCGGATGGTACCGGCACCTCTGCATGAAGCTCTTTGCAGGTTCCAGAGCACTGTCACGTGTAGTGTCGGTTCTCACGTTGACCCTGTGAGGGAAATGAGGCCATTACTGTTTTACAGTGGAGGAAGCAGGCACGGAGAGGGTAAGGTACCAAGATGATGGTTAAACAAGGGGCTGGGTCTTTCAGATTTTTTCTCCATGCCTTCTAGTTCGCATACAAAAAATGTGAAGGTAGCATTTGTGTTAATACAGAATTATTCATGCCAACCTGATATATAATTACATATAGCTTGTCTCATGGTAATGAGACATAAATAGACCTTTTACATAGTCGAACAAAAATTAAATTTTTTGATTTCACAATTATCCAGGATCAGTATTAAAATCCTTATTTTTCACTGATACACTTAAGTGTGCTATTTACTAGTGCCATCCTATGCCTGACGACTCACCTGGAATGACAGTCATCTGAACTCTAAATCATGTTTCTGACCCAAGGACGTCTTTTTGCTTTGTCCATTTACTTGCAGCCCATGGCTTGCCTTCCCCCACATGGTTGAGAGTTCTTGAATCCCTTCTTCCTGATTGAAACACCAGATACTGAAGTGGTAGAAACAATGGACCTTAGGGCCAAGTCAAAGGCAGAAGACAGGAAATAGGACCAGGGGGTGCCTGTCATCCAGAGGAAAAGGAGGAACCTAGTGCCCTTTCAGACCAACTTAAGAGATACTGCACTTAGCCCTGGCCAGTTTGGCTTATACTGAGCACATACCTTAGTTGCGGTACGTACCGGCCCTGGTCGGGGGTCATGCAGGAGACAACCAGTCGATGTGTCTTTCTCACATCGATGTTCCTCCCTCCCTCCCTCCCACTGTATTTGAAGAAAAATGGGAAAATATCCTCAGATGAGGATTTAAAAAAAGAGATACTGCATCTGGAGTATGGCCACTCTGCCTCTCCCTTTTGCCAAAGCACCTAACTTTACCTAAAATACCTTGCTAGGTCTTGTTCCAACCAAAACAAAGCCTTTCCACAAAAAGAGTGAAAAAGCTTAAATAACAGACCTTCAGAGAGTTAAATCTTGGGTTGCAGGCAGAGTACAAATGATACCAGATGTTTTGCTTCCCAGAGCTGAGTTTGGAATGGAGAGGGAGAACAGGAAGGAGGCTGGAGCATGATGCTTTGCCACTAGTCTGCCTTGTTTATTTGCAACTGATCTCAGAGCTGGAAGAGACCTTAGAGATCATATTGTTCATCCTCCAGCTTACAGATATGATGTCAAAACCTTGTCTGTGTCATTCACCGCCATCCACTCAGCATCTAGAACACCACCTGGCACAAAATAGGTGTATTATAGGTATTTACTGAGTGAGTGGACATATGAATTTATGTGTGTACCCTGTTTTAGAAGCTGTGCTATCTGCAGTGCAGCATCCATAGTGGAGTAATGCGTAAGGTAACTAAGGTAGGTAGTGGACAGGGCCAACACTATAGCCCAGATCTCAGCACAGAGCTCTCTATAATGCTATACTAAGAGGTGGAAGCTTGCCAAAGCAGCCATGTCTCACACAATCCCTTCCACATGAGGAGCCAAGGCCAGTGATGCTGGTGGCCCCCTGCCCTACTCATGGGCTCCTGCACTTGTGCCCGATGATAATGCCACGTTTGTATCCATGAGCTTTTCTCCACCTCTCAAGATTCATTAAGTTTCCCTAGAGAAGTTATTTTCCACAATCAGCTTATTTCATTTTTATAATATAAGCTCTTTAGGGCAGGTGATGAAACAACATATAGTTTACCAATAGCAACAAAATGGGATGATCCTTTCCAAATGTCCTTTATTCATTCAACAGACAACTACTGAGCACTTACTATGTGTCTAGCTTCTGTTAGATGTTGAGGATGTCCTATCAAACAAGACACAGTCATCAACCTCGAGTTTTTAAATATATTCAGAGAGGGTAATTTGAAGTGTAAAAAATGTCTGATAGGCCCTGGCCAGTTTGGCTCAGCGGTTAGAGCGTCGGCCTGCGGTCCTGAGAGACCCGGGTTCGGTTCCCGCTAAGGGCACGTACTTCGGTTGCAGTTTGTCCCCGGCCCTGGTTGGTCGTGCGGGTGGCAGCCACTCGATGTGTCCCTTCACGTCGATGTTTCTCTCTCTCTCTCTCCCTTCCTCTCTCTCCCTCCCACTCTGTACAAAAATGGAAAAATGTCCTCGGGTGAGGATAAAAAAAAAAAAAAAAAAATGTCTGATAGGACAAAGCATGAGATGCTATAAAATCAGAGACAGCTAATTCAGCTGAGCCAGAGAAAGGCTTCCTTAGAAGGATGATGTCTAGGCGAAACCTGAAGAGCAAGTAAGGTGAAAAGGAAGGACTTTATAGGTGGAAGGAATAATACATGCAAAGGTCCAAGGGTGAAAAAGGGTATCATGCTTTCGTGGAGCTGCAGGTGCTTTGTTGTGGCTGGTTCATAGAGTGGAAGGGCAAGAGAAGAGACAGGATTGGACCTCATGGGTTTTGTTAAGGAATTTGAAGTTCAACCAAAGAACAGAGGAAACCATTAAATAGTTTTAAGGTAAGGGAATGACAAAATTGGGTTTAACTTCAGAAATTTTAGTTGAAGGGAATGATGATGAACAAGTGGCAGTAAAATCCAGGTCCTTTAGGAAACTTGTGGAAATCCAGGTGAGAAATAACTGCAACCTGAATTAAAGATGTGGAGACAGCCCTGGCCAGTTTTGCTGAGTGGTTATAGAGCATTGGCCTGTGGTCCAGAGAGACCCGGGTTCGGTTCCTGCTAAGGGCGGGTACTTCGATTGCTGTTTGTCCCCAGCCCTGGTTGGTCGTGCAGGTGGCAGCCACTCGATGTGTCCCTTTCACGTTGATGTTTCTCTCTCTCTCTCTTCCTCTCTCTCCCTCCCACTCTATCTGAACAAAAAAATCTGAACAAAAAATGGAGAAAGTCCTCAGGTGAGGATTTAAAAAAAAAAAAAAGGTGTGGAAACAGCCCTGCCAATGTGGCTCAGTGGTTGAGCATTGACCCACGCACCAAGAGGTCGCCGGTTCGATTCCCAGTCAGGGCACATGCCCAGGTTGTGGGCCAAATCCTCAGTGGGGGCATGCAGGAGGTGGCCAATTGATGTTCTCTCTCATCCTTGTTTCTGTCTCTCCTTTTTCCTTCCTCTCTCTCTAAAATCAATTTTAAAAATTTAAAAAAAATAAAAAAGATGTAGAGATGACCAATTGACATGGACATCAGACTGGGGAAGGGAGGAGGGGGGTGGGAGTAGGAAGGAGGGGGTCATTGGGGAAAAAAGGGGACATCTGTAATACTTCTTTTTAATTTTTTTATTTTTATGTTTTTATTAATTTTAGAGACAGAGGAAGTAAGAGGGAGAGAGAGAGAGAAACATCGGTAAGAGAGAACACTAATTGGCCGCCTCGTGCATGCCCCCCACTGGGGATTAGGCCCAGAACCTGGACATGTGTCCTGGCTGAGAATTGAACCAGTGACCTCTTGGTGCATGGGTTGACGCTCCACCACTGAGCCACACCAGCTGGACTGTAATACTTTCAACAAATAAATAAATAAAGATTTGGAGACAGAGGATGGATTTGATTTGAAAGTTACTCAAGCCTGGCTGGTGTGGCTCAATGGTTGAGCATCGACCCATGCATCAAGAGGTCACCAATTCGATTCCTGGTCAGGGCACATGCCCAGTTTGTGGGCCCCATCCTCAGTGGGG